GAAATACCGGTGAGACAAAGCAGTAGGGTCTGTGTAGTGTAAGAACGAGGTGTGATAACCGAGGAGGGGAGGTTGGTTGTGTTTTTAAGGTGTTTCCTGGTCCGGTGTTACCTGTTTATGTTGCTGGCAGGCCAACTGCGATGAGCTTTATATCCTCTTGAAGCTGACTCTGTTTATGAGGGTGTTGACAGTATGCAGTCAGTGATGGAAAATATGAGTGGGATGGTCTGTAAACTTGTGTCCATTTCCCTCCTTTGTTTACTAAAATGTTAATGTGTTTTGGCAATCGGCTTCAGCAAGGATTTATTTAAGGCAATTGATCCCTGCAGTAACAAGGCGGTGGATTAAGCGAGCCCAGTACGTGAAACATATGCCTTCCTGACATTTCTCCCTTTCTGAACCACAGCTGGTAAATGAGGCGGCAGTTATTGTGCAGAGAGAGGACTCTGCCCGTGCCTAAGGCTCCTTTATGCTCCTCTTGCTTTCGTGAGCTCTCCTCCTTCCAGTTGCAAGTGTCAGGGGGAGCACAGTGATGGCATTACTTCTACCCTAGGATTTTAACTTGCCTCCATTTGTGTGCATTTGGAGATCAAGAAACCCAATGTGGAAGGCTGCCCCAGCTCCCCTACCCCGTAACTATTTTGTGGGTTATCTGCAGGAATACAGCGATAACAATAGCGTGAGCTAACCTCGCGTGCAAGGAACTTCTGTGGTCATTTATCAGTGGATAAAATTCACTCTTACATCTGAAAGTCATGCAGGTGTGGATCTACAAATGATAATCCTTAGCCTGTTTTGCTTGCACAGGTTCAGACAGCACCATTCGATTTGAATGCTACTGATAAGTTTTGGTAGATTTGCAGAATGCTGCACCTGGCTGGGCTGCTCCTCATCACCCATGCACAGGTGGAATACGCCATTGGCTCTAAGGCTCCAATGTCAGAAACCCCCTTTAACTAGCTCTATTTGAACAAGAGATTTGTTTTTCATAGATTTAAGGCCATGAAGTCTCATTACATTTCATCACCTAACATTGCCGATTTCAGTGTGTTCACGAGGCCTTTTGGAGAGGTTTGCCAACCCCCAGCACCGTCTGAGAAAGTTCAGACAGGGACAAATCTGCTGAAGGGTGTTATGCTGGTATCAGACAGACGCTTCATAGCATGTTGCAGGGTCCCTCAGAAACGCAGAATTCTCTCCAGTGAAATGAAAGAAGGAGGATCCTTAAGCAGAGGCAGGAGTTGCTGTGAAGTCCAGTGACCTCTGCCCCTCTAGCCCCGATACTCTTGTCTGCTGAATGAGCTCCTGCGAGTAAAAAACTAAGTTATTTGCAGGCTAGAAGGTCCCACCGAAGCATTTTATTGTTGGTTGTAAAAGTTAAGTGATGTTAAGTACAGCAGGCTGTAAAAATTAGGACATTATTTCCTAATATGCTTCTCTGTTACAAAGGCCAGAGCCTGACTTGTTTAGATAGCAAGAAAAGAGGGCTTTCAGAAAGCTGCAGGATACTGAAATATGTGTGTTCTTTAAGTTACGTACGAAACAACATTAAACAGTGCTGGCAGCATTCACAAAAGCTGTATATAAGCACAGCCTTTCTCTTGGAGTCTTGTGCATGATGGAGCTGCACATACTGAAGTCTGTTCCCCTTCTTGACGTCCTGTTATTTGCTTGAGTCGAGCTCACGAGCAGAGATGACGTATTCACAGGGCTCAAACATTCAGTAGCCTGTGTTGTGGAGGGGCAGCGGGCCATCCATCCCACCACTGCTTCTCACAACTTCACCCTAAATTGTTGGAGCAGATGGAGCTGCAGGCGAGAGGGGAGATCCGGGGTTTATTCTTGCTGGCACAGGGCAGAGCTGAGCATTCTTGGATTGGAGGTGGGCAGCAAAATCTCTTTCAGAGGCCTCCCAGGGCGCAGGCTGTGCCGGGAACCGTACAGCAGTGCTGCTGGATCACCAGCTGTGAACCCCAGTACCGGTTGGCTTGCTGACCAGCTAGACTGAAGGGGACAGAGCACTTGGAAAATAATCTCTGCACCATTCCTGAAATAGGGCAGAGTATAGCTGACCTGTAAAGGATCCTGGCCACTCATCTGTTATCTTAAATTTGTCGTCTTTTCCTAATGCAGTTCTCTATCTGACTGAGGTGCTGTGAAATTAGATCCATTTTACGTAGTATAAATATTTAACAGCTCTAGAGCATGCAGTTTAATATTAAACAGACAGTCTTATAAATACTTCAGAATTATAGATGCTGTCACACTACATGGAAATGGTTTGATAGGATCTAGGAGAAATATTTAGGTTTGACAGGAGAGGAAATGATGGGGTTAGGAGGAGTCAGCCACATTTTTAACTGCTGGAGGAGCCCATAAAAACAACCAAAAAACGTTGTACGGCTTCTGTTCTTGAAAGGCAATTTGGGTAAATTTCCTCCCCCTCAGGAAACAACAGAGTGGTTCCCACCCCGCTCTCTTCAAGGAATGAAAACATTCACAATCTTGAGAAAACACCGCAGAGAAAATAGAACAATTTAGGAACCAATGTTTAGTCAGCAGATATCACCAAATCGGAAGCGACAATCTATTCAGTGTGGGATTATCATTACTATAAAGGCAAGTGGGACTTAAACAGGGATTTAGATGCTCTTGAGCTTTGTTAGCTTAAGTCCATGTACTACATTTTACCACCCAAGAGAATAAAAAATTTATTCCTAGTGGGTTTGCTTTAAAAAAAAAAAAAAAAAGGCAAAACCTCACTGCTGACCTGCTGCCACCTGTAAGCTGAGCCCCACTGAAATCAGGCTGTGCCTAAGCCAGTGACCACTGTCTGCACCGCGGTGCTTCAGAGAACGAAGGCTGCGTTGTCCGAAACCGGGGAGAGGATTTCAATTCCCTCTTCTGCTCAGTAGCTTCCTCTGTGAGCCCTGAAAGTCACTTCTCTCCCCAGCAGGTTCTCAAGCCGAGTGGGGTCTGATTTCCCATGAAATCTTCTAAATGCATGTCAGAATTAGCCCCTCTAGGCCTCTGTTCCCATCTGTAAAAGAGAGATAAAGCCAAAGTTGAGAGAAATATGTTAAAATGCAAAGAACAAATAACTCTCATGACTTGGGGACAACATAAGTACTTATGCAGGAAGTACATTTTATCCCATAGGAGGCTGAACTGTAAGTAATATAAGCAGGAAAGTTGTGTATTCACAGTTTGCCTGTCAGCAATGCAGGTGGGTTCTCTGTGCTAAAGTGATGGCAAAGTGAACTTTTTCTGTTTTATATCTTGGAAAAATGTGGACTGAATTACATGTTAAGGGACATGGCTTTCAAACAGTACTGTGCATTCAAACATCTGGAGTTAGTGTTCTGTGACAGCTTCATAACAGCAGTTTACTTCCTACTTCTGAAGTGGACTGTAGCATTACACAGTAATTTATTTTATCTCTCCAATGTATTCTGATAGTTAAAGCACAGTTACAACATCTGATACAATGTCATGTCCAATGCTGCAGGGTTATCAAGAACGGTAATTCTACAAAGAAACTTGTCCTGCATCAAAAATATTACTTTAAAGCTCTGAAAGGCCGAAAAGGCACAAAGGCTTCTGTGTATCGTGGAGACAGATTTTCTGTGAGGCCGGTATGTAGTTAAGAGCTGTAAGGTGAACTGGGCCAATTTCTGATGCAGAGGTTTCTTGGAAGGTGTCCCCTAACCCCTGGTCAGTTTTTACCCTGGAATACATGTCTGAATCCAGCATCACCCTTTTCAGCAAAAAGTGTCCTGGGTCAGGCATGAAGCCTGGAGAAAAGCCACAGAGCAGTCCTAATGAATCAGCATTTTCAAAGGAAAATGATGTTTTACTGAGCCGTTCTTACCTGGTAGGACCTCGGGTGGTGATGGTTTCTGTGATCTTCCCTGTAAACCTGCCCAAGTTTTTCACTGATTCAGAAAGCAGCTTTTGCATGTGATGGCAAAACCCTGCTGCAGACTTTCAAGGTATAAAGTACTCCCGTTTCAATTTATTTGTAATTTTAAGTTAGCACGGCCAAAGAGGATGAGAAGACTCTTTCTTTGACTCGGATTTATTCTCCTACTGGCCACATACAGCTGGAGTGCCTTTGGGTAAAAGCCTTCAAACCTGGCCACCAGAAGCCAGGCCCTCCGGCGAGGTGGGGGGTTTGCCAGCGTCCTTGTAAGAGTCCAGGAGTTCCCACTGAGGTCGGGGAGCATCCGAGAGAGAACAGAAGTCACATCCCCAATGTCCGAGAGGCCGAGAGCGACGGGTCATCCCTACAGTCCCCACCGGCCGTGCTTCACGCCGCCGGGGGAGGCAGGGCTGGGGGAGCGGGGCGAGGGGAGCTGCTGCGGAACGGCACAGGCACAGCCTGCAACGCCAGCGGGCAGCTCCAAGGGGTGGACCTCGCGAAACTCCCGCTGCCTTTTCCACGGGTCCCCCGCAGAGCAAAGAGGAGCTGCAGGACAGCACCTCGCTGAGAACAGCTTCTGCCTGGTGACGCTGCAGCCCCCCCCCAGCCCCGGCCATCACTGGAGAGCAGTTGCCTGGAACAGCGGGAGGCCTTCAGGAGCTGAAAACTGAAAGACAGCTCCTTTCTTCTTAATTTAATTTTTATCAGCGGTGACTGTTTACATTTGTGCTGTCAGTCTGAAGGACACCATTCAACTCACACTGTATAACCTGTCTTGTTGCTGGCTCAGGGAAACAGTTGCTACGTCTGAAGGCCTTTGGGACCTTCCCAAATCCTTGTCAATTAGTGTCGGCAACGGCACTTGGCATGCTCCAGCAATTGTCAGAATTGCTATCAGACACTGCTCTGTGAAACGGTTTCAGCCTTACGCCATTGTGCAGGACAGTTATTAATGTCCTCTCTCTTTAGAAACTGTTAAGCTACAGGAACCTGAATTTAATAGGCTGCTATGTTTTTAGGAGCCCGTTTCTTCACTAATTGTAGCTCTCACCTGTCACTTTTGTTTTCCCTTCGCTAGGGTGAATCAACTTGTGATGCCACCAGCCTCTGTGAAAGTCTGAGACGGTGAGTGACCCAAACCAGCAACTGGCTTCAAGCTACCCAACCGCTCCAAAATCCTTGTCAATCCCCTTCTTTCCTTATAAATGGGAAAGAAGCTAACCTTAGATAGCCACGGTCTGCACCTTTGCTACCCTCGACCCAAATCGGAGCGAATTAAGAACAGGGAAACCAGGGCTCGACTCCAGTGGCCTTTGCTGTATCGAGTTGCATCCAGAAAGGTGGTGCTCCCTTCCCCGAGCAGATAAACCACCCAACCCCGCTCGACTTGACCAGCAGCGGGGGGGCGATTGTCCGAGGCCAGAACTTAGACTGGATCTGGTGTTCATAAAACCTGCTGCTGCATTGCTCTTGGCCCAACATCTGCTCGCTATCAAATGGCCATTCCTAGCCTATTCCAAATTTTTGCAGAAAACTCATTTCTGGCAGCGTATGAACTCGCACGCCATTGCTAGGCCTGTCCCCACTGCCGCCCGCGACCCAGGGCGGCAGCGCGGAGGCCTCGGCCGCGAGCCAGCGGGGGGAGAGCCCCAGTGCCGCTGCCCGCCCTCCGCCCTTGTGTTCGTGCTGTTCTTATCACTCACCAACAGCCACAGCTCTGCAGCTCAGAGCTCCAACGATTGGTAAACACTTCCCAGCATGTCACCGTAGCCAAAATTAATTAAAGCGAGTTTTTGAAGAGATTTCTTTGCCATAAATTAAATGCACTGAAAGACTAATCATAAAATCAGAACTCAATAACACACTTAAGAATGGCCTTTTGGGGGAAAAGATTTAATATAATCTCTAGTAGAGCAGATGTGTTATTTCCACAGAGGGGAGTATATTCTGGTACAAGCTAAGGATATGACAGGCCTGCCTGTACCTGCAGTCTCTGGGTTGGATATTATTTATCAGTAGCTTTTAGACAAAGTTGTTTGTTGTGTTGGTTTTTGGTTTGTTTTTTTTTTTTTTTAAAAGCAAGCCTCAGAAATTCAGTTCATAAAACACTGAACATGAGTCCTGTGCACACCTAGGTTTTTCACTGTACTTTCTTCTCTTTTAATCCAGTTTTATACAGTTTGAGAGAAACCAGGCCATCATTAGAGGGAGTTTTTCTATAACCCAGCAGTCGCTGATTTTTAAGGTCAGGGGCAATTTCCTGCATAACATGGCACAGAGAACCTCTCACAGGAAATCCTGCAGCGAGAGAACTGGTTATCCTTTCCCCTCAGTCTAGGAAAGCTGCTGGCCGCTTCGGTACGCCCCGGCACGCACAAGTGGTATCTCACCAGTCAACAGATGCGCTGATGTTGCTCTTTAAAGCAAGCGTGTACCCCCGGCGTGCTGGGGGAAAGCCGGTGTCTGCTCGGCCTCGGGAGCAGCAAGACTGAGCGCTGAGCTCCGCTGCTGGGGAGGCGCGTGCCAGGCTGACCGCCTGAGCGGGGCTCGCCGAAGGACACCAGAGTCTTGAAAATGACAATTTAAGAGTAAACTCAGTAAAAACTTAGTAAACTGATGGCGTTAAAAAAAGCCTAGTAAGAATGAACCCTCTTGTCTGCTGAGCTGTTTCAACCCACATCACAAGCAGTTGTACGTACACGGCTGACAGAAACAAGACGTGGTTGAAGCCCTTAGATACCACGGACAGGAATCAAAGCCTGCCGCTGTTTAGCAGGCGGGTTTGCGGCTGGGACTGAGCAGACTGTGCCTGGATCACAGCGTATCGGTGTTTCCCATTCCAAAAGCTTACAATACCTCCCCAAGTGCTGTCTCCACACCGGTCAAGCTTTGCTAGCCTCCAACTTGCATGGCGGTGAGGGGTCCCTTCGCTGGCCTCTGCTCACCGTTACCATCCATTCCTGTGACCACCCCAGTAACCACCTTCCTCTCTTCCCTGGTTGCAGCTGCCAGTGAAGGAAACGACGCGTGGACTCCCGCCACCACCACCACCACCACACCAATCTCAAGCTCGCAGCCCTTCCGTACTGGTAAACCAGTGGATCCTCTCTCCAGCCCCGCATCAATGGCACCACTGCAGCCTGCGGGGCCGGGCGCCGGGAGATGGGCAGGGCAGCCTGGAACACAAGAACTTCTCGAGCAGAAGGACGTTCACAGGTTCCTCCGAGCATCGAGCGCAACTGTCGGCTGGATGCAAACCGTGCTACCCGAGTGAGTGACTGTAGATTGTGTATATGGTTTTAGTTGTAGCCAACAAAGTCCGCATCGTTTATAGGGCAACTTACGTCCTACTGAATGCTGCTGTTCTGTCAGCACTCCCGCTCCCAGAGACTGCACTAGTTGGGGACCTCTTCTGTGCATCACCTTTTCTTTAACACTGAAGGCTCAATTCAGATTATTATTTTTTATTTAAATATGTCATAAGATGCTTTATCTCTGCTGAAGACATTAGACGACAGATATAGATATATAGAGATATATAAATATATATATATTTAGATAAACAGGTTTTATTTAAACATTTAAAATCTGGAGCTGCCTGTGCAACCACACCAGACACGATACCATCCACAACTCTCCTCATCTCTGCGTCCTGGCACCAGGCCACGCAAGGGCACCGCGGGAAGACTGGCTGTGGGTGACTCAGCTGTCACCTCGGTCTGAGGAATGGGACCGAGGAGAGAGTTTCGCTGCACTGGGTATGCTGGTGGTTGCTACAGAAAGGCCCAGAAGAACTCTGGACAGAAATACCTAGGGGCTCTAGAGTTTGCTCAATATGCTAAATTCAGCCTTGCCTAGGAGGTTCACAGGTTTCTAAAATACCAAAATCCATCTGGCTGAATTGCTGTACTTAGGGCCCAGTAGTGCAATACTGCTGTGCCACTAACATCATGCTTTGTTTACATGCATATCCTATTACTTGTATTGTCAATGCTAATTCTCCCTCTGTCAGTATTTTCAAAGCAGGTGGCAGATACTCTACTGTAGCCGTTGCCTTGGAGCAAGGCTTAGGTTTAATGCATGCCCAACCCCATGCACAGTCCCAAACTCCTCTTACTGGGGTGTCACTTTTGTCCTTATGAAGCTGCATCTGAGATCTTCAGTACACAAGGCCAGTGTCTGAACTGCGTTAGGCTCCAACGCAGGCGCCTGGGTCTGTAAAGCAGTCAGCGTGCCGTTTCACTGGAGTCTTGTTTCCTGCACGTGGCTTCCACAAGCCAGGTCAGTGCTGTGCCAGCTCGATGCTGCACCAGCGTGGGGAAGGCAGGCGAGCCCGGGCCCGGGAGAAAGAGCCAGGCCTCCAGAGAGAGAGCACCGGTCCAGCCAACTCCCCACTCCCTTTTTTCTGTTTTGATGTCTCCCGCAGTTTAGATACTCCCCTCCAGCTGAGCTCACATCTCGAGTAGGTGAACGCACCTTACTCCCGTGCTCGTGTTTAACGAGCGGCTGCAGTTGGGCTGCAAGTAGGAGTGAATCAGCAAAGGACATGCCAAACCGGGACTGGATGCGAGTTAAGACTGGAAGCTGGCTGTCCTGATAGTGGCGTAAGTTTGTTCAGAGACACGGGAAGGTGCAGTTTGTAAATCTGGGATTTATCTCCCGCTCTCTTCCAGGCTGGGCTAGGACCTGCAGCACAGCATTGCAGTCCAGATGGTAATTCCAGGTACCAGCGACCTGGTCAATACCCAGCGCACAGCCGGGCCCTGCCCAGGCAGATGGGTTCTGAGGGTGACTCACTCCTGCAACGTGAGCCTTTCCTCCTCCTCAGACTCCCCGGGACTCTTCTGCCAAGGTTGCTCTGTCACCTAAAATACCTTAACAATGGCTTTCAGATTTGGCCAAACAACGAGAGCCATAAATTTTCTTCGAGTGCCTGGGCATCCTCTGGAGAACAGCAAGTGGGTGTTAGAAATAATAAAGCAAAGCAAAGCCGAAGCAATGCTTCATTTCCCACCTCGTGCCACTATTTACATTCATAGGGGAAAAAACACCTCTGTAGTCTAGGAGCCAAACACTTGGCTTTAAAGGCACATGAATTTCTGATTCTCATTAAGAAATTCCTTGTTAAGCTGTTTAAAAAGAAACAAAAAGCAACCCAACAATCAGTCATTTCATCTGAGAGACCGAAGAAGATTAGCCACATTTTCTAAATTGCTTTTCTGATAGGCTCTCTCTGTTGTAGCATTTACTGTCAACAAAATGAAGCATTCCTGCTAAAGTTCAGAGATTAGGAATTGTCCTTAAACTTAATTCTCAGGAGTCAACAATGAAAAGGGAACTTAAGTATCTTGCAATGTCACTAGCTCTCCTTGTTCGTGACAAGCCCCAATCCTTGTTAGAAAGCACAGCGCTGCTACAGGAGGCCAGCTTTATCTTCTGTGCATGTCAAGGAAACTGCTGTGGCTTTCTAACAAGAAAAGAGGGAAGGGAGCAAGCAAGGGAGGGAGAAGTGAGTCCTACCTGCAGCAGTTCGACACCAAGGGATCCCCGAATCCCTGCTCCCACACGTGCCAGGCTAAGGGAGGGAGGGAAGCCAAAGCAGCAGCTATGGCAGCTCAGGGGAGATGAGCAGAAGGGAAAGAAAACTCAGCCCTTCCACCTCCTGCGGTCATTGCTGCTCCTTTGCACGTCCGTGACCCGTACCTGGGTGGCCAGAAGCTGAAAGGCTGCGCTTCTTGTTGAATGTTTCTTGGTGTTGCTGGGAAGAATTGTTCAGTTAGTGCTTCTATAAAGATATTTGGTCTATTAGAAGGAAACCAGCTCACTTAGATCAAGGGTCCATAGATTAAGGCAGTAAGAGGTACATCAAGTCTGGACACGAAACATACGTATTACCGAACAGAAACTGGACCTATGTTGCCATGTAAGCCCCTTCTCCGGATTCTAAACCTACTGTTCCCTGTCCCAGGACATCGGCCCGTTTCTGCCAGTATGTGACTTGGGGGAAATCACTGCCTGGCCTCGGCTTCTGTGTGTGCGAAGCTGAGATACTCGCTGCTGAGATGCTGTGTAAACAAGCCATGTTGTGTTTCTGTACTCTAGCAGAGGTCGGAGTAGCGTGTTATCCCAGTGCTGAACTCTGGACTTTGCAGGCAATATTGTGCTGGTTTTCCCTATGACCCCATTTGATGCAGGAATAGATGTAACCAGGCTTGGAAAGACCATTTGGTTGCTGACCTTGTGGAGCAGTGGGACAATTTTTGGTATGTACACAGGAAGTGTTTCTGGAATGAGAAGTTGAGACTGAAAGCATATGCATATCCATCTGAGTAACAACTCCCATTAAAATTAGTGTTTCTGATTTTATAAAGAAAGGCTGCTAATAACGGTTAGTTTTTAATAAAGAATCCACATATTTTAGTATCCATCACACCAAACGAAGAAAGATTCCAGCCTGCTACTGAAGTAATTGCTCAGGTCATCAAGGTTATGCTTGTGGTTCTAAACTTCAACCCAAAATTAAAGAGTCCCAATAAGGACAGAAATACCCTTAAGGCCGCTGATCCTTTGTACACAAAATCACTTCTTGTGAATGTCTGAAAATTAGAGTACAGAAACAGGACCCCTTGAACGCATCTGACAACAGATAGAAAAACACCAGCAGAAGGCAGTGAGCACCGCTCCACCCTCCCATCCCGGCACAGACACGTCTCAGGACAGGGCCCAGGCGAGGGGAGAGGTCTCTGGGTTACCGGCTGGTGCTGCTGTGTCTCCCCCCCACTCCCTGGTACCTGCTGCCTCACCCTGCTCCTCTGGGCTGCGACCGATCCCTCCCCGGAGCTCTGCCCCAGGCTCCTGCCCATCTCCCTGCGCTCCGGGACGTACAGAGTGAGATGCAGCCTTGCTGCAGGCACAGGGTGGCCAGAGCGCTCCAGGGAGGGTCCAGGGTGCCCCTCAGTTAATCATGAGGGCTTTCCTCTACTCCACTTCATAGGCATCTGTTGGGTTTTGGCTGGGTTGTTGGGTTTTTTTTGTTTGTTTGTTTGTTTGGGGTTTTTTTAAGCAAGCATTAACTCCCTCCACTAACAACTACATCTGCACCCATGCACCCACTACAGAAGCAATTCGGTGGCTTACACATAGCGAGAGGAGCACAGGTAATGGGAACTGCACAGGAAGGCAAGAAAATTACCCCAAAAGCAGCAAGCTGCCAACCCAAGTAACAACAATGCCTCCTGCTGCCATCGGGCGCCGAGCCGGGACCTGGGTGAACCCAAGAGCCTTTCCCCTTTTATAGACTAGCTAAGAGAGAACCTCAGGGTGAATAAACCCTATAAACAAATGGCTGTACTCTGGAAAGCAGAGTTCCTCTCTGCACCCTCCGTCCTAATTGTGTGTTTCCTTCTCCATTTGCTTTATTGTTTGGTAAACCAGCACTTAGAATCACTTTTACTACGTGATGTACGGGAGTATTAGTGTATTTTCTTGTTATACAAGGGAGGAGTATAAAATAGTTTTCTGATTTCTTTCAGAAGCAAATGACTATTTTATTTTTTAAGAGCAACTGATTGTGAATCTCAGAGTATAAAAAAAAGATAAATAAGCCAAATATATACCTTTATGTAAATTAAGAAATAAAAGTATTTAAAACATACCTCCTGGCTCCCTTTCTTGTGTCACCTCGTGCTCTGGTTGCGCACTCCTGTGGTTGCTGTCTGCAGGGCTGGGTCCCTGGGACAAAGCTGCCCCGAGCTCCACCAGCCCCACAGATCCTGCCAAGAACGCTTTGATGTGGGCGACAATGAACCTACCTCGACACCAGCCTCCCGGAGCTCATTTAAAAAGCAATACCACGAGCTGGGAAGGTGAGAGGGAGCAGAGAGGTGGTGGGTAACAGCCTCCTGCTTCTGAGCTGGCTGCTCCAGCCCAGGGGCAGAGCAAGGGGCAGGGGGGCAGCGGTGGGCACGGGGCAGGGTCCGGCTCCGTCCCCTTCCAGGCCTCTCGGTGCGCAGCACAAGTCAGAGCTAAAAAGCCTGGCTGATACAAAAACAGCCCACGTGGGGTGCTCGGGAAGGTGGGGAGGAAGCAGGAGCAGAAGCTCATCCCCCAGCCAGGGATCCTGTACCAGCCCTGCCCGGCAGCATCGCGGGACGGCGGCATCTCGCCTGGGGGCCACCGAGGGAGCGAAGGGGCTGGTGCTGCTGCGGCAGGAGCCCTGCAGCCGCCCCGTTCTCCCGCCTGGGTCTGCACTGCCAGCACAGACAAGGCGTGCGAGCCCCCCCGGCCCTGGAAGAGGCCTCTCCCGCAGGGCCCGGCAGCGTTCCCCTCAGCACAGCGCGAGTGGGCAGCCCAGGACACCCCTGCAAGCAAAGGATTTGTCACTTAAATCAACCCCGATCGCCTTCTGGCAGCACATCTCAGGGCTTTCAGCTTAATCATATTGTGTAAATGATTTGATTAAGCATAATTTTACGAACGCTGATGTTCCAGCAGCTAAGCTTGGAAGCTCAGCAGCTTTAGCTTCCATCAGTTGCCAACACAACTGTATTGTTCACAGTTTTTTTGATCACGGACACACATGTGCATGTGTGCACACACACACACACTCACTCTCTTCCCTTCTCTCCCCCTTCCCTTTTCATAAATCCTCCCCACGCTCCTGTAGAGCTCTGACCAGGCCACCTGCAGCCCCACAAACCCGACAGCCCGGCTGCACGAGCTGGGTGTTACACTGACCATCGCCAACACGTGCTGACACCAGAGCCGCGCATCACCCCGGGAAGCCCGAGCTGGCTGGTACCAGCCGATGCCATTTATGCCGCAGGTGTCCTGGTCTGACTGCTGGTGCATTTACTACAGGTGTACAAAGAGGTCCTGACTGCATGGCAACCTCTCTTTCATTCCTGACCAGCTACAACACACTGCAACCATCTCCTAGTGCCTCTGGCAAAATCTCTGTATGACACGTAGTACGTCACTTCAAAAATAAAACATTAAAGTTTTAGCATTTGAAAATACACTTTGAAGGACACAATGTTTACCTCACTAGCGGCCTTCTCTGTGGTTCTACGTGATAACCAACAGATGCAAGTCAGGAGGAAATCCCTGCAGCCAGGCTTTCCCCTGCCAAGAGCAGCCACAGTGTGAATCTGTTTGCTGGGTGCCAGGGCAGTGGTTCCCCGTGGGTGGCCAGCCCAGGACACCCCTCACAGCACAGCCAGTCTGTCAGGAGAGTCACTGCCCCAGTCCCAACCAGCACCAAGCAACTGGGAGTGTCCTGCCACCCCCAGCACATGCTGTTGGCCTCCTGCTGAACAGTGAACCGGCTGGTTTCTCTAGTCTCACAGCACAAAGAACACTACAGTGTCAACACTCTGGTTTGAGCCAATTCCTGTAACCTTAGGGCTTCTGGTTATAAGGAATTACTCCTTTAAGAGACAACAGAGAAACGTCACCATTAAGTCCTGCTTCCACTACGATTTGGGGAGAACAGGTTCTCCTTTGACTGAGAAAGGGAGAAAAATGAAAACACAACTCACCATTCTGCACGCTGGACTTGGAGCGAAGTGTTTCTGAAGACAGCAAGACCATGCATGTGTCTTCCCTGTCTTCTAGGTGTCTCCCAGGTATGCCTTAGCCTGTCCCAGGCCATATTTTACATGAGTCTGGAACAGCTGCAAATGAGCTTGGGACTCGTGTCTTGGCAGCAAGAGCAACTCAGGAAAAAAATCTGATTTTGTTGTCCTGCATTTCAAAGTAAAAGCTGTTGCAGCTACGTTTCTGTGGAAGAGGACTGGGTGCTGCTGAGTCGATCACAGCTACTCCATTTGCCACTTGGCACTGATGCTCTGAAGCATACTGGCCACGAGCGACAGACCCGCGCCGGTGCGTTGCGCTGCTCTGGGACACTCCCCACCCCACGGGAGCACGTTCCCAGCACTACAACCCCGGGCTTCTCCTGCATCACCCCGATCCCACCGCTCCAGGGCGGCCGGTTCC